AATTTCAAATTAAGCTTTAAGGAAATTAAGTACACTGTAATTTATTTGTACAAACTTCAAATTTTAAAAGTATTATCGGTCCTTTTCGAATAACCTATATAAGTTTATTTTAAGTTTAGTAAATATGAACTCAAATTATTCAAATAACCAATTTTTTAGTTCTAATAACAACCTCTCATTTCAAATGAATACTGAGCAAGCGGCAGCTGGTTCACGTATGAATATTCCTTATATGGGTGTGCAGAATGCTAGCCATTTATCAAACCAATATTACGACAACCCGGGACAAATCTCCTTAAATTCTATCGTACAAGATAATTTTGTGATTAACCAACTCGTTCATCCCGTTACATTTATTTATCAGCCACCAAATGATATCTACATTTATCATATCAAATGTAAAGAAATCTCAATCCAATTACTAAATGAAATTAGTAGTAACGTATCCAACATTAACTTCAATCAAAATGAATACTACTTCTTTTATCAACAACTAAATGATAATCGAATTTATCAAGTGGTTTGTGAAATAGTTTCTCCCTCTTTTATTATTAATTTTTTAAATAAAACTATTTATGGAATTGAAATTGATCAAAATATTGGCGAAGAATTGATCTTCAAATTTGATCAAAAGGAAAATCTCAAATTTTATTTAACACAATATCTAAATAGATCTTCATTGAATTAATTTTATATTTTAAAATTAAATTATGGTATAATTATTTTAGCCAAACATTAAGTTTAAATATAGTAAAAATAAGATTATTACCCAATCGAATCGATAATATGATCATTGAATTATATATATATATATATATATATATATCATTACGAATTATAGAATATGTTATTAAGCGATTTATATGTTGAAATACTATTGATAGCTACTTTTAACTCGTAGTTTATTTAAGTTTAAATGATATCCAATTTTGTCTAATAAATCATTTATCTTTTTTTTATATTCTTTGAATTTTTTTATATTTTTTTTATGAGATAATTAATAAATAAATAAATTAAACAACAAAGAATATTTAGACAAATGGACATTTTTATAAAAAGAGAGATCAACTTTTATGCATTGAAAAAAATTATTTACTAGCAGTCACCTGTTGCTTCACACTGGGAACAATGGTCTTAAACTAAATCATTTTACGAAAAATCGTAATATGTCATAATTCTATGAAAAATTTTTGCTACACGTTACACAATTCAAATTAATTTATACAGGGCAATCTAATAAATATCCACCAAATTTTAAATGCGATTCAATGTCAATTAGGAGAATTATTATTAGTCATAGCTGATTAATCTGATGATTAAAAAGATCATTTTTATAATACGTAAATATAAAAGGTAGAGTAATTGTTAAGAAAAAATAGAAAAATAATAATAAAATAGTTGTACCAATTAATTGAAAATTTTTCGGGTTATGCTCAATATTCGATTTATTATTGGTTCGATCATTTATACATACAGTATATATATATTTTTTCAAATAGGTTTAGGTTAAATAGGTTCAATTTTTTAATATAAGTTAACCAAATTTTGACTAATTCCTGCATAAGTGCATTTTCCTGCGCCATTGCAAAATCACGTGACAATACAGGCGGCGTTCTATTTAAGGCTATTTAAAGACTTACTAATATTATTCGTGGGAATAAAATTTCTCGTGATTAACAATATAAGATAATTTCTTTATTATTGTACTATAAGAGCTATAAAAGCTTTAAAATAACCAAAATACAAAGAAACCTAAATGTATCATGATATCATAAAAATTTTTCTTTCTTTCCAAATAATTGAGGATCATATTATATTTTTCCCAACAGTTATTACATATGAAGTTTTGGGCGTAAATTTCTAAATGTGACTGATAGCCGAACATTATCTATGCTTCATAGATGCACTTTATTGATTTGGTTACGTAGGATAATATTATAATTTAATAATTAGATCAAATAAATAAATCAAAATACGTTCTTATTTTATCGCTTTTATAAGGGCAATAACGAACTTTTTTAATATATTTGAAACGTTGATTAAATAACCTTTTAATGAGATAATAGAATTTCTTTTTGATTTTCTCATGTTATTAAATAAATATAATCATATAAATATATTATTTATTTAGATCAAAGAAAATCTGGTTTTTTTTTACCCGAATATATTAAAAGTGGCGTGTTAAATTAATATATTATAAATACTGGTCAAAATAACGCGCCGTTATTTGTTAATCCTAAAAAATATTAGATCAAAAATGAAAAAAGGGTCTAACTTTATTTATAATATTTATTGAATCTTATCATCATATCAGTTAGTTATCAGGAATTCTTTTTTGGAAATGATTGTTTAAATGACTTCTTAAATAATATCTCCTTTGTGTTTGAAACACTTATTTTACTTATTTTACATCTAAATACAGAACAATGTGTTATGTACTGCAAAAAAAGAATTATAATATACTAGGTAACAGGAACTGTTGGAGCGCCTGAAGCGTTATATTCACATGACTATCTAAAAAAATATATCACTAAAAAATGTGCTTAACTAAAAAATGTATATATTAGTATTTAAGTTAAAAAATGTATAGTTTAAATAATGCATCGCTAAAGTTATACTTAAAAAAGTGTAAATGTAGTTAAATTTGTGACCACGTTGTAAATTTTCGATTTATTTCCATGGTATCGCAACACAATTTTTATTTTACAACAGAAAATATTAGTTGAACAATTTGGTATCATATGGCTGCATAGAGATTAACCTTAGTTCTTCGGCCATTCTCTCGTAATCTCTTAGTTTTAATACACTGGAGTCTTTCAAATGAAAATGGTCTAAAAAGAATATTTTGGAGAGCACAGCGTATTTAATGATGTTCAACAGTTTCATTTTATCTGGATTTACGTTTACGAAGTGTTGATAGGTTTGTCATCTGTTCGCTTGTTTTACTATTTTATTGATTTATTGAATTGTTTTTATGGTTTTTATCAATTTTTTTTGAATGTACAATTTATAGACTGACACTTTAAAAGCAACGGTTTATTAGCAAAAAAAATATATATATAAATGTCTCACTGTATAACTTGTGCGAAAAGTCAAGAGGATCTCTTCGTAAACCAATTACAAAAAATGGATATAAAATATAAGAAAGCTTTTCTACACGTCTATGTTTTCTAAATATTGGACAGCTGACTTACTAATACCAAAGTGTTTAGCAATGAGCCGAGTTGTCAGGCCTTCTAAATTTTTTTTTTCAATTATTTGCCATCTAATATGTAATGAAAGAATTGATTTTGACATGATAGCACAAAATAATTGTTTGTAAAATTGAATTTGTTTATTTATTTTTATTTATTTCATCATTGATCATTTAGTATAAATCTCGAATCACGTAACAATCCGACACACGTCCCAAATCTTATAGAAACAGCTGTAATGGCTGTGTAAGAATTATCAGCTTAACGGATTATCTGCTCAACCGTTATACAAGAATTATCGGCTCAACGGCTGTAAAAGAATTAATAAAGTAATAGACTTATCCAGTTTCGTTCTACTGTACAATGTTCTCTCAAAGTGGGTTGTGTAATCTCCCGCCGCAGTCAAGTAAAAAATTGGTTACGAAAAAAAAAATATGAACTTATTTAATTATATTATTTTATTTATTCAAATTATCATGACAATAACTTTCTTTTTTTAGCAAATAATTGTTTTTTTAATATACTGTAAATACCCAACGAATACAGTTTAAATATCAATCGTTAATTACAATATATACATCATATTATTATTATATCACATATTCACATATTAATAATATTATTTTATAATATTTCAATTTTATTTTATTTTATATACATAATTGAAAATTTTTATTGAATAAAAAAAATTTTCGGAATTCGAAATACTTTTAAATTTCTAAATAAAATGTGTCAGAATTACTCTCAATTGAATGCAATACAACTAATTTTTATATTGTTTTTATTGAATTAAATAACTCGTGAACTTTGGGAGAAATCGGTGAAAAAAAGTGTGGGTAATTGTGGCTAGTATCTTACTTTGTAATAATTCGAGTTTGGTTTAATTATGAATTTTTTTTTTATGAAATCTTTTTCAAATGAAACGTAATAAAAAATATTCAAATCTTTATTAGGGAATAATAAATAAGTAAATAATAATTGTGAACAAAGAAATTTATTTTAATAATTTATTTATATTAAAATGTTTTTTTTTTCTCCCCGATCTTATTCTCTTATCAAAATGCACGATTAACAAACTTTGTACATACCTTGTTTTCATTATTTGAACGGAATTAAGCCTTTTGAACATATTTCGTTAAATTCATCTTTTTAAAAAAGAATATTTTTAAATTCTTTTTATTGTTATTCTTGCGTTATCGCAAAGTTTCTCATCACAAGTCTATTTAAAGGGAATTATAGCTCATATGACATGGCTAAATACGCGCTGGCCCTATAAAAAAGGAACGTTCACTGTATATATGTAAAATAGTCACTTACAATTGTTACTAATCAGAACATAATTTAGGCTCCTTTTATATGTAGTTTAAACATAATCTAACTGTAAAATATATGGTAAATGAGACCAATTTGAACAATATATGATCATAATTTTATCCATTTTATATTCAAAGATATTAGTAATGACAATTTTATATTCATAATTGATAAATCATTTATACATTATTCGTAAACTATTTATTCAACAAATGTTTATTAAATGTATGTAATATATTGTGATTTCATTTATATAATAAATTAATACAAATGTTAAATTCACTATGTATAAATATGTATGCAAAGTATTAAAATACCAACTGAATTATTTATTATAACGTCGTTTTTTGATAGATTTGACAACACCTTCAATCGAGCGAATTTCAAACAGTTGATTCAGCCTTTTTTCGAGTTGATCTGCGAAGTGTAGTTAGCTGCAGTACTTTTTATTTCTATTCAACGTAAAAAACAATTGCTAATAATTAAACTAAGCTAACATACACACTGAAGGTTTCTTTCATTTTTTTCATTGGAATCATCTTCAATTTGTTGATCTTCAGCAGATTCTTCTGAATCAGTATCAGCTGGTTGATCTTCCTGAGCACGTGTTATATTATCAATTGGTTGTTTTTCAGTAAATACGTTAGAAACATTAATTTGTCGACTTTTAGTAGTTTTATTTTGCTGAAACATTGATTTTCGTCTACCACAATATTATAAAATGGAGCTAATAAATGTATTTTGGTATACATACGCATTGGAAAGAGTAGGTTCTTCTTGAGCACGAGTTTTATGATTTTTACCTAATAAATTAATATATTAATTAGGATGCTAATGTTAATATAAAATGCCAAAAAAACTTAGACATGAAATACTTTACCTTTTACTTCATTATTGTTTTTTACATGACTGAAGTTTATTTTGCGATGCATGAGATATACTAAGGCAGTCACCAATACAGTCTGGAAAATGAGCTCGAGGGTTAAATTTTTAAATTTACGTATAATACTCAAGATGTTTATATTGAACTCCAGCAGGAATATGGCGCTCAACAAGATCATAAAAGGCGGTCTAAAAATATAATAATCATAATTATCAAATGACCTATTTACTTTATATTAATAAATAATATTTACCCTATAACTTTCATATACACTTTTATTCATATTCAATTTTGAATATAATTTTGCGAATTGACTTGGTCCGACAGGAGGTTTTGGAATTGGCGCGATAGACAACTGACTATTATTTTCTTTGTTAACTATGCTATGCTTGTCATCTGAGAAATGTATATACTGTTTTAGAAGTGTTAATAGCATTCAAAATAATTATACCTCTATATTGTCTGGTTCTTATTCAGAACTTGACAGTTCTAAGCTAGATTTTTTGTATTTTTTGGATTCTTTTTTGGTTGGCCCGTTGGTACATATTTTTTACATTAGTTCTTATGAACATTTTTACTATAGTATTATCAGAAGTAGGTTTTGAAGTAATATTATTACCTTACCCATTTCTTTCATATTTGTTTCATCTTTTAATTTTTTATTTTTGCTTCCAAAGCAGCAACACGTGCTAAAATTGATGATAATAATTTTTCATCCACTTTTTTTGTAGTATAGTCATCATCATTGAACTTTGGGGAAGCTAAGATTTGAGAATCTTCAGCAGTCTTCATTATTTTCGGGAGCTGGTGATGGCTTCTTGACAATAGATTTGACAACATTTTTTCTTTTTCTGGTCATGTTTATAAATTTGAAAGTTAACGGCTAAGTGGATTTTAAAAAACAAATCATGATTTAAACTTTATAATTAGACTAATTAGACTTAAAATAAACTTCATTACGAATACTCATTTGGATTTTGTAGTACAAATTAGGATTAGTAATCATTAGTAATGTACAAATTATTCATATCTTTATTGTAGTGTAAATAAGTATTAGTAGTATATATGAAATTCCCACGAAATAATTTTGATAAATAAATAAAGGAATAATTTAACAAGTTCTTTGAAGTTTATATTATTAAAAAAATCACATACAATGTCAACCCAAGAATCAAATAAAATGAACAAAACTTTTTGCACCTGTTCAAAATGCTGTGAAAATGATACTGAAAATGGAATTGGAAAATTAATTAATTAATTTCAAAATCCACACGAGCCAGAGACTAGGGATTGGAATCGATTCAACTAAAATCGATTTAATCGAAAATCGAATCGTATCTAATAGAATCGATTAATCGAATATAAAACCGAATCCCAATAAATCGAATTTTTATATTTTGGCGCGGCAAATATAATCTTGCTGTTTCTATAACCACGCCACAATGATAAAAAATCTCAGAATTAACATAAAAAATTGAAAAAATTCAACAATTGTGATGGCTTTTTGACCAATAATAATTGGATATTGGACAATTAGACAATTGAGAATTTAATCAAACATTATCCAATCGAGTTAATTGTGGCTAATGTTTAATTAATTAAAAAAAATTTTTTTATTAATTGATAATTTCGAGTTCAGGGCCTGGATCATCTTTTGGCCAGAATTAAATATAATTCTATAATGCGGGCCAATAATGTCTACTGCATATTTGTACATATATTTTTTATTATAATGATAACAAATTTTGACTTTTTATATAATAATTACTTTAGTTAATAAATTTTTCGGGGGGTTTTTATTCAGTGCAAAAATAAAATCATTTTACTTTTTAATCAAAATTTTAAAATTTTTCAATTGAGATTATTTTAATGTTTTAGTTAAAATCCACCTAAAATTTTGTGCCGCCGGGATCATCGAAAGCGGTTACATCACGAAAATGTTTAAAAAATGATTTTTTTTGTTAAATTACTGAGAAACGATTAATCGATTCTTAAATCGATTCTCGGGTTTCGATTTTCGATTGAATCGATTCCAATTCCTAAGCCAGACACCGTAAAAAAAGAATTGGAAAATCCATTACCAGTATATTCACTGGGCTAAAAATGTTAAAGAGGATGATGTAGGACTCTTGTCATTTTTAAGATTTGGTGCACATGAATTTATTGATGCTTGTGCAATTGATCACTGCGTAGGATTCTTAGAGTATATTATATTATAGATAAAGAGGAGAAAATTTAGATTTTTTTTTCTTAGAGGGTGAATTTACGTAAAATATACCAATTATTAATTATTTTCTATATTTATTTACATTTTATGTACATATTTTCGTAATGATGAACATTTATCGTACATTTGTGTATTTAAAAATGGACAATTGTAAAATTATTGTTTAACAAATAGTAAACGAGCTAGACATTATATGGTTAAAAAAATGCCATATATATTTATGTACAATGCATTTTTATAGGATGGTTACTATAACGTAGGAAAAAAATCTTTTTATTTGGATCGTTGTGTAATGCAAAAAACACCACATATTTGTTATATTATACATTATCATTATCGCCGTTTTTAAAATGGTGTGAGCAGTTTATTTGTGATATATTCGAATATCAACATTTGTCCGGTTTTCATCCAGTATTCGTCCGGTATATGTCTTCTTATTCAAATATAACTATATAACTGCATACACCATTTTGAAAACGGCAATAATCTATCTTTATTATATTACTAGGTAAATTTAATTATAATTTAAGATAGATTACATAGTTTCATATTAATATTAAGTGATAGTTTTTTTTAGATAGATTTTTAGATATATTGTTTAGTTATAGGGTTATCGATATGCTATTATTGATACCTCTAAGTATTTATATAATTATGTAATCTTTGATTAAAATAATCAATATAATGCATTACTAATTTTTTTTTTGTTTGATTTTGGACATGAAACATTAATAATAAATGTACAGCCAATTTTTTTCACAGTAGTGCTTTTAGTGAAACATGTACGATGACGGACAACTCCTCCCTCACGATCTACATGATCTTTAATGACCAGAACCCTTGTCATTTAGCCCAATCATTTATAAAACTTCGCAATCTTCCATAATTGAAATTTCTTTTTTGAATATAATAGCACATGTTCATCCTTATCAGACAAGATCGCCTCATCACAAACATCATTACAATTTTCTACAAAAAAAATGTAATAAAATAAAAAGAAGGGTTAGAAATGATTACCATTGTAACCTGAAATTATCTATCCTAATCCTTAACTCTAAACCTACTCTAACCCTAAGCCACTCCAAACCAACACTACTATAATGATAACGCACCTAACCTAAACCAATCTTCTTACACTAACCCTAAGCTGCTCCAAAGCCAAATACCACTCTAAAGCCAACATTATTTTGCCAACATTATCTGTTATTCTACCTAATTACATGCCTTGAGCAAATTCTGAAAGATGAATAATTTGAATTCTTTTTCTTCTATAAGGTAGGTTTGCACGAAAGGGAAAAATAAATGAAATTATTTATGGGTTTTACGTTCAATATTAAAGAAAGAAAAAAATAAAAATATTCAAATGAAAGAGGGCGAGCAAACGTGGGAAATACTGATTGACGATAATCAAAAAAGTTTTATGAAGTATACATCACGTGTCTACCATATTGAATTACGTAATTCACGTGACAAACAGCATCGATAAATAATAATTTCTTTTTTTTAACCTTATCTAATTTTTATTTAAAAATTATAATTGATCGAAATAGGTTTCATGATACCATAATAATAATATTTATGCGACTTATTCGTAAAAATGAAACATTATTGCAAAGAACTTTAAATAATTTACTCTAGCCATTTGACACTCCTGCAAGTACAAATCTCAATCGCGCCATTTTAGGGATCTACATAAAACAAATAAAACCGGTTATAAATTATGCCGAATCTCAAAAAAAGGGTTTAAAAAATTTTCTTTGTTATTTTTCAAATTAGTGTATCCCATAAATATTGCCTCTAAAAATCATCGATTTCCAAAAATTTGCGATTATAGACACAATTTTTTTAGGGTAGTTTCCTTGTTAAAAACGTTAGGTGTTACACAATATTTCAAAATTTGTTTATACCCTAGAAAATCACCAAATTCTAATGTAAGAATCAATGGATGAGAGTATTCCGAAACGCCAAGAAAATTCTATTTTATTTTAATAGATAGATATGAATGGTATCCTGTTGTATCATATTACACGACTCAAGATACGCGATTTTATTTCTTTTTTAATTTAACCTTATTATTTGTCCATCAATTATGAAGTTTGATTAATTTGACTAAAAATCAGTTCCATTATTCTTCACAGAATTTCTTAAACACAGATAAATAATATAAACAATATTAGGCGCCAACTTTAAAAAAAAAGGAAGTCAACTAACTATTTTGATAATATTATCACCGGTGACAGTACTCCGTGAACTATGGAAATAATTGTATCTTAAAAAGCTTGATCAAAAGCCTAGAAGAATGCTTCACTGATGAGATATTACGTAACAGATAATTAATGGGGAGCGCCTATTTTTATTTGTTTCATCAAACATTTTAAGATGCATACGCAGTAATCAGTTATTATATATAAATAAAGAGCCCTCGATCCATTTTTTAATAAAAAATTCGATAGAAACTTCAAATTATTAGGTTTTCTTGAAAATTAGGCACACCGTAATTAAACTTCACGTTAAACATCGTTAAATTGCATTACGTACGAAATCGTATATAAACTCGGCATTATATATTTAAGTTTAAATATGAACTCAAATTATTCTAATAACCAATTTTTTGGTTCTGATAACAACCTCTCATTCCAAATGAATCCTGCAGCTGGTTCACGTATGAATATTCCTTATATGGATGTGCAGAATACTAGCATCCATTTATCAAACCAATATTACGACAATCCAGGACAAATCTCTGTAAATTCTTCTATTGTACAAGGCAATTGCGTTCATCCTATTAAATTTATTTATAGCCCACCAAATGATATCTACATCTATCATATAAAATGTAAAGAAATCTCAATCCAATTATTAAATGAAATTAGTAATAACGTATCCAACATTAACTTCAATCAAAATGAATACTTCTTCTTTTATCAACAACAAAATGATAATCGAACTTATCAAGTGGTTTGTGAAATAGTTTCTCCCTCTTTTATTATTAATTTTTTAAATAAAACTATTTATGGAATTGAAATTGAACAAAATATTGGCGAAGAATTGATCTTCAAATTTGATCAAAAGGAAAACCTCAAATTTTATTTAACACAATATCTAAATAGATTTTCATTATAGTCAAAATAAGATTTATTACCTTATCGAATCGACAAAAATTTTTTGATTTCTAAATAGAATATATTATGTTAATTTATTTATAGGTATTATGTTCGAATTCATTACGAAATATAGAATATGTTATTAAGAGAATTATATATTGAAATATTGATAGCTACTTTTAACATTTAACTCAGTAGTTTATTTAAATTTAAATGATATCCGTTTTTATTTAATAAAATCAATTGTCTTTTTTTATATAAAATAAATTATCTATATAGTAGAGAAAACATTACTACTACCTTTGAAATATTATTTCAAAAATAATTTTTATCACGGTATTGCTTAGGGTACGCTCGGCTCGCCATGAGTTCAACTTAAACTTAAAATTCCTTAACAGTTAATCATAAGTTAAATGTAACTGAAATTACTTTCATACAAATTACGAATTTCATTTATGCTTATTTCGAGTTCTTTGTACCATTACGGTGGCGTGAAAGACCAAATGGTTAGTGTAATATACGCCATAAGCATAATGAGAAATTTGAGATGCTCGTAAATAAATATTTTATATTGATCTTTAAATAACGAAATAATGAATTAAAGATCTATCAATAAAGAAAGTTGTTATAATATAATATAAATGCTGTTATTATTAAGCATTTATTCGTATTGTATTCAGTTGTTTGCTGTATTACAAATGCATGACTCAAAACTTTCAAAAAAAAAAATAATTGTAAAGTAAAATGAAATTAATATAACCGCTAACACTCCAGTAACTCATTGAAATTACATACCAGAATAGACGATCATATTAATATCTTTAATCTAAAGACTCAAACGATATTTATTCATAATATTGTGCCATTTTTATCTGAATTATATCAATTTAAAGTTCTATTCTAATGAATCTACAATCCCATAAAAAAATTCTGGAAAAAACTCCGATAAATGATTGTTTTTAGTTTTTATTCCGAAGAAACTCAGACACGTGATCATTTTTCTGAAAAATTTTTTATGGGGAATAATTTTATGTGAATAATTCCGCATTTCTGTATTTCTGTAAACTAAGCAAGTCAAAATTTCAGGGAATTGAGGTTTTAAATTATACGAATATGCTACTTTACGGAAAATACGGAAAAGACATGAAAACATAACTTCTTTCAGGGTTTTTAAGACAAGGCAAAAAATGTGAGTCGAATGCGTTATTTTATTCCATATACAGTATTATGTGTTGAGATGACAAAAAAGCACTGAAAAATAGAAAAATAACTTAGTAAAATAACTTAACAGATTTGGAAATTGTCAGATGAAAATTAAATACAAAGAAACTTTAACATTATTAATTTTCTAAATGTTTTTTCCTTTTTGGATTTTTATTATTAAATCTTTTTCTCGGGTTCTGATTATTATTTTTTTAAATCAAACGATCTCATTGAGAACATTGGTCAGGAATTGATTGAACTTTACGTTCCGTCAATTAGAAAGTAATCCTAAAAATAATATTCAACTTTACCTAATTAGTTCAAATAATAATAAATGATTAATTACTATATCAAAAATAATAATGTGTAAATGAGATTTATTATAATTTCCTTGTCTGTTTAGTGATTTTAATCGGAATTGATTTTAGTTTTTTCTTTTGCATATGCGAGTTTCTATTATAAAACTTCGCAACAAACTTAGATATTATTTATTCTATGACAATATAATAATGTAGGCGTAAAATATTTTATTGGAGCAACATGCATATACATTTTTTATTATATATTTAATATCAAACTTTATTTATTTACTTAAAGGAATAAAAATTTTTGCTAGAGTCTAACTAATTTGAGAAGTTTATAGAAATTTATTACCATATTGAGGAAACTTAGATTTTGCGTAACCTACTTTATTAAGTAAGTGCATGAATTTTCTTATAAAATTTTTTTTTTTTTGAAACCAATTATATTCATTCATTTGTTATTATTTACGGAGTCAGAGGTTATAACAATATTTGATTATATTAGTATATATATTGACCTGAATGATAACTTGTACTACTTGAACAATTTTTAGATTAATCACGAATCATAAAAAGAAAATGATTCAAAGAATCATTGAATAAAATAATAAGACAAAAAGAAATCTTTTGCTTAAGCTGTTTTGGTAATTAATTATCCAATATTCAATTTACATATATGTAAAACCCCTGAATTTGAACAACCCCTTTTTTTCAAGAAAATTTATTAGAAATCTTAAATTCTAAAATTATCTTACAAACAAGTAAAAGTATAATCATTTGTAAACATAAGCATGAACTCAAAATATTCAATTTTTTGTTTCTGAGACTTCAAACTACTATTATTAATTTCACATCTCCGTCAAACAAACCCCGAGCAAGTGATCAGCAAAGACAATATTATTGTCGATCAACTCATTTATCCATGGAGTTTTTTATCAACCGCCAAATGATCATTTTATTATATTGACATTAAATATAAAGAAATTTTATTTATAATTACTAGGTATTACACGAATTTACATTGACTTCAACCAAAATGAATATGACAAAATAATGGTAATCGAATTTATCAAGTGGTTTATGAGATAGTCTCTCTCTCTTAAATTACAAATTTTAAATATAGCATTGAAATAAACTGAATATTTGGAAATGAGCAGTGCTGTAAATCTAATATTAATTCATTATTACTAAATTTACTAGATAGAAAATTAAGATCGATTACCTTATTTTTTTGGGATTACTTCATTTTTAAATATATTAATTTTCAATTTTTTTTATCTGTTGCATTTATTTTTTCTATCAACTGAACTCTATTAAGCGTCCAAATGAATTATTTACTTTGATCAAGATCTTTAAAATTGGAAAATAAATTAGAGTATTATAATAATGATAACTTTATCGTTAAATATAATTGGAGGAAAATAATTTATACTTTCCCGTTATAGAAATAACTCTATGTTAAATCAAGTCTTCTGGTTGGATTCCGCTATATAATGATCGTGCTGATCATGATTTGCAATAGGTACATTTCATTCGAAATTCATTTCACCGAAATCAATTTCGCCGAAGCCATTTTGCCGAAAGGAGGTTCACCGAAGGGACATTTCACTGGATGGAAATTTTATCAAGTGGACATTGAATCCTTTCCCTAAATCATCCATTTCGCTGAAATATACTTTGCCGAATCCCATTTCCCTGAAGCTATTCTGCTTAAATGGACATGCTGTTGAAAATAGTCATGGTGAGTGTGAAATTTTAATTTCTTTTTTTATATTAATTTTCGAATTATCTATACATTTTTTCATAAAAAAAATTCCAATTAGCCAGGACGGATATAACCGATTTATCATATTAAGAGAAATTTGTGTAACTATAATCAAGTTACTTTAACCGTTAACTATACAAATTTTTTGTCATGTGCTTTACTAGTTTTAACATTAATTTTCTCTTTGCATATAAATGAAATTTAGGGTTCCGTCCAAAATCCCGAAACTCAAAATCCCGAAATTCAAAATCCTGACGCGTCAAAATCCCGAAAATATATTTTTATTGTACTGTATATATTAGATTTAAATTAATTAGATGTACAAATATAGATTAGGGGATGGAAAGATGGCATAATCGGCATATATATAGCAGAGTAGTCGGAAATTTTAACAAGAATTTTTGTTAAAGTCTTGATTAGTAGGATTAAATTACTAGTATTACAGAGCGACTTTCGGGCAGCATTAAAGCTTAATGTGGGCCAATTATTCTGGATTTTGTACCTGTCGGGATTTTGGCCATTTGGGATGTCGTACCATACCCGTTTGTTTAACAATTAAGAACTATCAAAATAATTAAAACTATAATAAATTATACAAATAAAATAATGAAAAAGGATTTTTTTAGAGTAATCTTAATGCTCACCAGAGGTAAAATTCACCTGGAGTAATATTTTACTATATCACGTGATTTATATTAAAATTTAAAATTTTTTTCGTTTCTGAAAAATTTTCATGGCATTGTGAAACTCTTTCCCCTTTTTTTACATTTTGTTAATTTTCCGCAGTTATTTTTGCGCTAGTTAGTTTTTTTTCAGTTTCGACTTGAAACGCTAAAGGGGAAGAGGCCCAAGAGGGCGCCTCTGGTTGTATACGAGGTTTTTAGTTAGTATTTTACCTACACCCAAAGGAATATGACTTCTTCAAATCCTATAGTAATAGACTGGTCTTCATCATCACACTCGTTTATTCGCATAGATGACCCTTCATTTTCACAACATATTTCATATTATCCAATTCCGGATATTGATTCTCAAGCTTTTCCGAATAATAATCAGGAGGACTATCCAATAAAAGATTTTTCTTCTATATCTCCCATTTCTTTAACGACGACTCCACCTAATGTCGATAATTCTTTTCTCATTTCTTTCAAGAAATTTCACGTGACCAAAATACACAAAGCCGGTTATAACAAGATTTACGAATTTAGACGTTCAAAAAGTTTCTTTTTTGAGATTGTTGATCACCATCTGGACACCAATCAACTTCATTTACGGATACACACAAATGATTATCTCATGTCAACTATTCCTATTAAGTATCATTCCACAAGTGCACTACCAAACGCCAAATATCAAATTAGCAAAGGTCTTCAGCATTTTTTTTCCTCACAAAAAGTTATTCCACGTCGTATTCAAAAAAAATATTTTGATATGATACGCAATAAATTATTAGATAGAATCATGTTTATCAAGTCACGTGAGAGTAAAATCAACAATAAGAATACAACAACGAAAACTTTTTTTAATTTCTCGTACAAAAGATATAGATTTCATTTTGGTATCTTTATCCCTTACGACTATAAGATTGAGGCAAAAGGTTTATCTATTCCACCTCGACTTTGTGAGGTCCCTTGTCCTATAGTAATGTCTAATAATAGATATGGATGTGGCTTACATTTTTTTCACAAATACCCAGCTGCAATAGCTTTTGTACGAAACGAACATGGTGATTTTACATTTAAAAATCAACATCAAGATAAACAGTTCCACGCTAATTTGACATTTGACCGATGAATAAAAAAAGAATCGAAATCGATATTCTCTTCAAGAACGGGCATCTCTTATAACTCAAGATATATTGTCTGCAATTCAAATCGTAAATTCAGCCCTGGCCGTACTCACATTTATCACAAACTTATGAATAACTTCCAACTAACCCCAAGTCCTAATCGGAGGACAGCTAAAAAGCAGCAAATTAGATTCGAACGATCTTGTCGTCGTATCTTATCACAAGAAGTTACTAAACCAGACGCTGTTTCCAGTACATCAACGAAACTGGCCGCGGCTAAAAAAGGACGCTTCCTCTTTTTACCATCTCAAAAATTTACGACTCCTCTCAAACACTTACGTTATAAGAAGACTGTTGATACCCCTAAACAAAAGGATTATAATTTCACTATTCCACATTATTTCGGTATTAATACGAATACGCCTAACTGATCAAGGGCTACAAATAATATTTCTTCTGCTATAGCTATGACTTCACCTTCGGTGCCTATTGGTGAAATATTATATACAGTTTCTCCTTATAATCCTATTCCGGACATGTTTATTCCTATCAAATATCGCGATATCATACCGCCTGATCCTATTTATGATAATTTTGGTTCCTTTATTGCCCCTGGGTCTAGGGAATGGTTTACTTATATGTATCAATTGGATTTAGATACCCGTGATGAACGCCTTAGCAAAGCAGATGATGCTAAATTTATTGCTAGAATTGATGAACTTACTGCTGATGGTGACGCTTCTAGAGCTCATTATCAACAGTATCTAGAAGAACGTTCAAAGGAAATAACCGAACTTATAATACAAGAAGATATTAGAATTCATGATTTAGCCATATATCACGGTACTAGTTCTAAACACGTCAAATATCGACAACGTCAGGCGAGTGATTTAACCAGGTGGAGCAATTCCTATCATAATTGTATGATGAATCCCCAACGTCCTACCTCTTCCAACAAAAAGAAAAAGAAAAAGAAGAAACTCTTACAATCGGAAATGGATTCTTTTCTCATTAACTACCCTAACGTGTCATCTCCTCTTAGTTTAAAGTGTGACACCACACGATCAGTGTTTGATTATAAGGATAATATACTCCCTACCGAGCCATACACATCGGACGACACCAAAGAACTTGAATACCATCCTTCGAAACGTAATGATCGCACTTTTGATAATAACTCGAGTTCCTACAACATACCTAAACGCTCTCGCCTAGATACTCCTCTAGCTCTCGATTCCGAGCAGGCGGGGTCGTTCAAATAATTTTATTAGTTTTCTTATATTTAAAACTTTAGATTAGTGTTTCGTTATTTTGGAATCATTTTTATATATAGACGTTGTCTATTTCTTATTTCTTTTCTTTTTTTTAAACTTACAATGATAGTATATACAATAAGAATAGTGTTTACCATTCCACCTATGACAGTATTTACAGGTGGTGGCTTAGGCCAAAAGAAAAATACGGATCAACTAACTTTTCTTTTTTTAGATTAGCTTTTTCAATTGTTCCCATTTGATTTTTTAGCGTAGTCCTACTTTATCAAATAGTACAGATCGAAGAGTGGGGTCCCATAGGGGACGATGAACAAAGGTCTATACACATATATTAGTTTTAAGTATTTTTGAACTCTTTCTTCTTCTATTTGTAATAGCCTGGGTTTTAACACTCTTTTAGTAATAAAATAAATAAATAAATAAATTTTCATGGCATTGTATAATAAAAAATATAATAAAAGTACAATATAAATGAATAAAAACGTGTATAATTTTCTCCTCATTTTATTATAATTATTGAGTAAAAAATGATCAAGTTTTATTAGAAGTAATGAATTACAAGAAAAACGTGCGGAAACACTTCATTTTTTCCCAAACATCCCACCAGGTCTAATAGTTGAAATAATATTTATACTAATTGATAATTTAATTGCTTAATTAGAGCGAACGCGAAATCGTACAATGTTGCAATGCATTCTATTAGGGGTTAAAAAAGCTATATAAAGAACCGTTGTACTAATCAAATACTCCAACAAACCTATATATGCACTACATTTTATAGTAACTTCGCATTTACTCTCTTACGTTTGGACATTTCCGGTTTTTTGCATACCAAACATCTTCGTTGTGATTTTGATGTTACTCCACTATCACCAGTTTCTTGTATGTTAACGTGGATTTGGAAGTATTTTTGAATAACATACTAACTTAGAAATTCTTTTCTTCTTGAATTTTTAATTTTTATTATTGATTTTCATTTCGTCTTTTGAACTTGGGAAAACATATTTTTATTTACTAATAAATAAATATCCTTTCAAAGAGGGAGAAGAATAAGATATCTAGTTAAAAAGTTCGTAAATCTTTTTTTTTTTTCAACAAACCAAATTCTGCATACCAGCCGGTTGCAGTGATATAATAAATCATGCACGTAAAGGTGCGGGTTGGTCCATACACTACCATTTTTGGTGAATGACAATTCGGCGAAAGAGTCCTTCAGCAAATGTCCGGACATTCAACGAAATGGCTATTCGGTAAAATGACACTTCAGAGAAATTTCACTTCAGCAATGCAAAATGGCTTTGGTGAAATGGGTTTCAGCGAAGTAGACTTCGATGAAAGTTTCGGATACCCAATAAGTCAATCAAGTCATGGCTGCTGAAAGTCATCATTAAATCTGAATATTTCTCCATGAGAACCCTTTTTTCCATTTTGTTACTCAACAAATTCTTGACAATTACGGGACATTATTTATATAGAAATCTTATTGTAATTTTTTTCTTATACTCGGAAAAGTTCTATAAATGATATTATTAACAGATCGGGAATCCGCAATGATTCCATAATATCTCGCAAATTGTTGATAATTTTAAGATGAAATTTTAATACATTATTTGTTCATTATTACAAATTTTGTATGTGTAAATTTTAAAATATTCTTTTTGATATTTTATGTTTCATATTAATTTTGAATTGATTTACGTGCACGTGCATCGATATCGATGGATTTAAAAATCTTTCGGAAATTATCATCGGCTCAAGCGGAAAGAACCAGAATTATTCTCTAGATAAGAAACACGTTCTCGTCTTTTGTATGATATCTATTTAATCCATGCATATCTAATAATCTCATTATTATATAATTATGGTTGATAACTACAGTAGGACCCAGAAATATATATAAAAGAGTCAGGTTTGAGTTTGCGTATTTTGAACTAAAAAAATCATGAAAATCTTACCTTTTTTAGATAATTTTTGATAATTCCAGTCAGAATTTTATTTCCCATTATAGTAACCGACTGGCATTATCATAATTCCGGCCCTGAAAAAATGCGTACAGCTCATAGTAAAAAATTTTTTTCATCACCTGACCCCTATATATATATTTCTGGGTCCTACTACTTGAATATTTCACTTGATTTTCAATGCTTCAATTTTTCCTAGTCCAATTATCCCACTTAAAACATTCCGAAGTATAACTAAGACTATATATCTTAGGTTATACGGTTTGATATATTTTATTATATTCGGATGATGGTTATCGATCCCTAGAAATCAAAATCGAATTTTAGATTAAAACCTTTTTTAAAATTTTATTTCGGGTCAAATCCGGATAAAAACCGGATATCCGGAAAAATAAAATTATCCGACTATTTATTAGTAGCTCGTGACATTTTGTAGTACTACCTAATCACGTGATCTTATTGCTTGTTCCAATAAAACGATTGAAATATATGTAGTGCAACACATATCCCATTTGATTAATTAGCGTAGTCCTACTTTATCAAATAGAATTGATCGAAGGGTGAGGTTCCGTAGGGAATGAAGAACAAAGTTCTATACACACATATTAGGTTTAAGCTTTTTCTTTGAAATTTTTTCTTCTTTTATTTGTAATAGTCTGGGTTCTACCACTCTTTTAGTAATAAAATAAATAAAGTAGTGCAACACATATTTGGGACTTTTATAATCATATCACAACTGTGTGCACGCGATATTATATATATCAGATATATATATTTGAGAAGTTTTAATCATAAGGTGACATCGTGTATGCCTTTGAGTGGCTTTGACAATTCTGACATTCAACAAAAGTATTAAATTAAGTATGATATAATGATAGATTCTCTTACCGAGCGTAATTATAAGTCCCTATCAATCACGAGAAAAATTTAGTAATTGGTTAATCACGCGTATGACAATATCATCTAATCTAAAAGATTATCAGCCAAGAAAAAGCAATGAAAAAGGCTTTTTACAAGATATGATGTCAAGTTGACACGGATCGTACATGAAATTAATTTTACGCCAAATAAACAACTTTGACCATTTATAATCTTAAATAAAAAGCTGTAATTCTAGAAAATAGTCGGAGCTGGCTTTTCCAGCTTTAATTTAGAAAAAAAAAGAGTTCTTGTGCTTTTGTAATAGCGAACAAATGAATCTATTAATATTTATGGAAATAAAATATTAAATCAGCTTGGCGTTTTAGAAGGGTATTTTTTCTCATTGAACTTTTTCTAAAATGAATAAACAACTTTCATCTATTATTGAAATACGTACCGATTCATTAATAGATTGTTACATCATATAATTCTTTGTTTACCTAATATTGTTCTTTAAATATAGAACTCGTATTTAAGTCATTAACTTACCAATTAAAGAATTTAAGGTTTTGTCAAACTTATGCTAACCTGTAGTGAACGACTGAACGCATCCAATGAGGAATTATATCCGAGGATATGAGATCTTATCCATCAAAGAAATATTTCATAATAAAGTACGAATTATTGTTGTTGCACAAAAAAAGAAGAATTATGAAAACAAAGTCAATTTTTTTTTTCCAACGAATGATTAAATGATATAAAATAAACTTTAATTTAAAATAACAAAAGTGGGCGTAAAAAGATCAGCTTCCTGATTTCTCGTCTTTGATTTTATGTAATAATCTTCGAATCTCTTCTCGGAATCTCTTTTTCTTTGATTGATCAGATTATTTAGTAATAGAAGAATAATGGTTTACTTTTATGTTTAATAAAAGAATAAATAAAAAGAAAATCCAAATATATATGAATAATAAATCTAAATAAATAAATAAAATTTATTCAACTTAAATACGCTATAAGCTGATGATAGTATAATGAAATAATATAAATCAATAAGGAAATAATCAATAGAATATAATAAATAAGTATATTTTAAAGTACATATAATGAAATGGTCTGGGTCAATGCTTAAATATCAATTAAAATAATGTACGAATTAACCAGCTTTATCAATAGGTAACTAATTATTTACCTAGAAAGGAAAATTAATAAGGAAGTTACCTTATCCATTAATATATTAGCGTAGTTTGCCCGCCTCAGTTGATCACAAATACGTGACGTTACAACTTGATTTTTAAAGAAAAAAAGTTTTTTAGGAATTTTGAAAGTGTAGATCAAGAAGATTTTGATTTTTCTTTTTCAATATATATGGTCTATAAAAGCGCAAAATCTGTAGCAATATAAACTTATCGGGAATTGAAATAACCATTATTGTTTAGTTTAAACTTAAAATTCAATCAGAAAGTCTGCCTGCTTCAATTTTATTCGCGAAAAAAGAATTCGTCCATTTAATTCGAACTTTTATAAAAACAAATATAAATATTATCTGAAACAATTGGATATATTATACTTTGTGAATTACAATTTACTGAGTAGAAAGCTGTGAAAGGAGGATGAAAGAAAAACTTTTTAAACGCCAAAATAATTTTATTCATAAGTATGAATGGTTATAATGCTATTGCATATGATTCAGCCAAAACTAAAAAATAATTTTATGCAATACACTCATTCGTTATTAATCTGTAAAAATAAAAGGTCTTGTTTGTTTGCTTATTCACACAATGACAACAAAGTACTATGATAATGCTCTTTTTTGGTTATTTTCTATAATTCTATAATTGTATTAAAGTTTTATTACTAAGGCTTTATATTTATATAATGACTTGTTTGATTAACAAGTAAAAATAATATAACAAATATAAAAAATTTTTATAAATATCAAGTTAAGAACATCAGAGATCCTCGATTCCTTTTTTATACAATTAAGCATTTATAATTTTGTTCTTGAGAATTAATGAAAAATTACGCGTAAATACAATATTCTCTTCAGTCGGAAACGTTAAAGGTGTCAGAAGAGGTTTTGTCAAAACACATCCTTTTTTATTCAACATGGGAGGCCAACCGATATGACTGCATTATTTCTTCCGATTCATGAAAAATGAGAATGATTACAAGATTAATTAAATATTACTATCATATAACCGATAGTTTGAAACTGCAATCAGCTTTAAAGCGGGGAATTCACGAGGTATGAAAGAGAACAACGTGCGATTATAATATAAATGATTAAGTTTTCATTACAAAGTGAATTATATTATCTAGATATTCTATGGAAATCAGTCATTGAAATTTATGAATTTAACACAAAGATTAAGGTAATAAATAGGTTTATTTATTAGTACCTATTTTAGTTTCATGTCTCTCATTCTCATTAATAATTAATGTCATTTATTTTAGGGGCTATTTCTTTTGCATTTTCACTGGTATATTACTCTTTATTACATCTATTACTCCTCTCATCTTCCCTCTGTTTTCCTCTCTTTACTCTGATTTGATCATATTTTGGTTATATCTTTATGTAACAGATGTAGTAATAGATAGTTACGGATGTGTATATATGCGGGGGATAGATACTTTTATTGGTAAAGTTTTTGCTATTCATCTTAAAATTTTTTTCATGAATCAGAAATCTTTCTTTTACTTAGTCATTATCATAGTTTTTGTACTTTCTTTCATGTAATAATTGTGGGATAGAGAGAGGTAGATTTTGATTTCACTTCTTCTAATACTTTTAATGTTTCCGATTGAAAAGAATACTGAAATACATCGTAATTATAATTATTCTCAAGAATAAATTTTAATAATAAAGTTTAATTGTAATAAAAAGATGATGAAAATTGTAATTTTGAAATGTTATTCTGAAGAGATAAACAAAAAACGCATATTTATATTCGGAATGTTTTATTGAATAACACTATATTAATTATTACAAATCTGCCGCTCTGGCAGGTATATTTCATGTGTCGGTAAATATTAGGTAAAGTGGTGCATTGTTTTTTCGCGCCAAATCTCTTTCATTCCATTTCTTCTTTTTTTTATCCCGCATTTTCTTTTTTAAAAAAAGAAATTTCAAGTCATGGTATTAACAAAAAAGTACGCACGTTCTAGTAATGTTAATTAATAGTGGATGTTTTGTCGTATATTAAAAAGAAAGGATCTGCAATATAAAAATTATAGGCAAATTGGCTTAAAAAAAAAAAAAAAAAAAAAAAAAAATAATTGGATGCTTCAAATTTAGTCTTCTTTTCAATAGAACTATAAAGCAGTGCTGAAACATTATTTATGCTCCGGACTGGGAATTTTTGCAGTACTGTAATTGTCTGGGTTACTTCAAGTTTTCGTTGCATGAGATATAGATCCCGCCATTAAGATAGTGAAATGAAACAATACATTTTCAATAAAGAAACAAACCCCGACTCGTCTGTAATTNAGTTTCTTTTTATCGGATTGTATGGACCGTAAAATTTTAACAATTTTGTCTTTTGTAATAAGATAGATTTATTAGTAAAAATCTATATATAAATTTTACGCTAAATCAAATTAGTCAAACAGCCCAAACAATCATAAAAAAAAAAAAAAAAAAAAAAAATTGAACATTTTTTTTTTTATAGTCTCACATTTGCGAAAATAGTATGAATGAAAGAATTGAAGTCAATAAAATTTACTAATAAAGATTTATAAAAGAAATTTTTTTTTTTCTTGCACGAATAATTGGATTAATACATTATCAACTTTTTAACAATTAACCTGCATACTATATAGAGTTTCAATAAACATATGTAAGGGTCCATAATAACGCCTACTTAAAAGTTCCATGTGAAGATCTAATTTTTTTTTCAAAAAAAAAAAAAAAAATAATGATCGTAACGTAAGCCAAATTAGTAATTAACAAAGAAAATAATTTCTTGCCGTAATAGAATGGTTTATTTGCGTAATAAAGAAGATTTATTTTTGAATTAATATCAATTAATTAAACGAACTTTTTGACGTCAATTAAATTAATTCATGAATTAAGAGAGAAATTAAAAATATATTCCAATAATGAAACCAATAACAGATTCTAAATGAATGAATATTAAATTACTAATTTCTGCGTAAGTACGAAATTGTTATTGAGCAACTATACGATTAATGGCATTTAATTTAAATGTCAGTTATTAATTATTAACTAATTTGGCGATAGACCACAGAAATATTAAAAAAACGAGGTGCAATTAGATGATATCTTTAAGATTTAAAAACAGATTTAGGAAATTACAACGATTACAGCTATTTTGACAAGTTTTTGAAGTTTGTAAACTTGGCTGACTTCATAAGCATAATCATATGAAATCAAATGCTCATAGTATTTTACAAAAAACCTGTTTTGAGTGAATGATACCCGAGGGGTATTTTGTGCGACAAAGAGATATTGTGCATGGTTAATTATGTCGCTAGAATTACAACATTTTAAGAATCTATAGACAATTAAATTGTATCTGGGTATTTGATATATTACACAGAAATTAGCTGACGACTTTGACCTCTCTTATTTGGATATATAGTAATCATAATTTTCTGTATTAAATAACAAGTCTGCAGGTAGAATTCACAAAATAAAAGTCTATAAATAAGACAACTAGTCAGAAAGTTTAAGATAATGGTTCGACTGAAGCTATAGTACCGCAATTCGACAAATGTTTAAATTTGAAATTGACTGAAATTTAATTCTAACCGGAATCAAAATAATCACGTGCAATGCATGATTATAGTTAAAGTCCATAATTTTTGCGTTTATGTCTTTGTTGTTCAAGAGTACATATAATATCCGTTGCTTTTTATATACCTCACGGCTCACGATATTTTGTTATTTCGATACATAACTCCAATTGATGATAATCAGATGCTGCATGTGTTTGTTGATATTTTCCATCCCACCCAAGTAATTAAAAGAAGAAACTCTCTCTTTTATTTGTTGTTGGTAAAAGATGATATACAAAGATCATTGGAAAAAAAATACGAACGTTCTGAATCGCAGTCACAGGTTTTCAGTCGTGTTAACTGAGGTTAGTATATTTAATAATTACAATATAATTATATATAGTTAGTAGGTAGTTAGCTTTTTGAGCGTAATTTAATTAATTTATTAGTTCGTAGAGTGTGATTATTCGACATCACGAGTCGCCAAGATTATTCTAAACATCGAGACGCCCATATGATAGATATTCAGCCATATAGCATTTTACCGCAAACACGCTCTGCAGATTTACCTTTGGTTATCAAAGATATCACCTCTATACAAACAGTTTCCAGGATCCATCTCTATATGATTGAAGTTATTAAGGACAAACAGTGACATCAGAACATTTGTTTAATTAATATTCGTTAATGCTACAAGAAGATAAATTTTAAAATATTAAAATACTTAGTTGTTCAGGATTTGTTTGAGATGAGTTTGACTCTCCGGTATATAACCAATAGGTTAGTAAAAGTAGTTATTTTGTTTATTTTTTTTATGAAACTAATATAATTTTTCTAAATCAGAATTATACATTTTTAAGTGTTTTGAGAATTATGAAAGTAGTAAACAGTTGTATATGATCGGTCTTAAAGAGACACATAAAAGTTATATTAGGTACAAGGCAGTAAATTCTCAGCATAAATTAATTTATTTTTTTCTATTTGGGTGAGTAGGTTTCAGTTGGAGAGAATATGAATGTTGAATTTTATTACATTTTACGATTTCTGAAAAAAATGAGAAGCGTATTATTTACTTCATTAATTCGTTATGTAAAAAAATGCAGTAAATATAGTAAAAATTTACTTTATAGGTATGTCATAATGCTCAACAATTTTTCTTGTTTTAACTAAATATAATACTATATTATAAACGAAAAATCTATAATATTTAATGCAAGACGAGGAATCAGCGCCAGGGACAACTTTATGTTTCACATATATTTTTTTTATTTTTAATTCACAAAATGAATCGAGTTTCACCACATACTAGAACCGAAAGTAGTTTGCTAAACTGATAACCAAAACACGACTGTTCCTTGCGGAAACAGGGTGTTGCCACCTTGATTGGAAAAATAAAGAAGAACAGGGGGGAGATGAACTACCTCCTGGACAGATTATGTTTCACATATATTGAATGAAAAGGGGCGAAAGTTTACTTTATTAAAATCACGTGATATAAAGTAATAATAAGAAAAAATAGTGCATACAGAAGGGCTGCTAAAATTATTTTCACCAGCTTTAAATACTGTAAGCCAGCCTTTTTTTTTGGCTAGTACTCATAATGGTCATATAGAAAATACTATTTCAAGGTTTAACATTACAATTTTAGATTTAACGGTTTAAGATTATTGTACGACTCTATTTACTTTAGATCCGTAAGTTACTAACCCGTTAAAGTTCGTTAATAGCCTAATGTTTATGTCATATGGGTAATGATCTTCTATTATAATTAAGATTAATACGCCACAAATGTTTGTCTCTTGGCAGTTGGCAGTTATCTGCAGTTGATCCACTTTATTTAGATCGGATCACCTGATGTACAAATTTTTTTTTTTTTTTTTGTTATATAAACGCTTTTAATTTTTATCCCGATATATTTTTTGGTACTAGTCTTTTAGTTCGCATATATTATTTTATAGAAATAATTACTTTAGTTTAATTAACTTGTAATAATATTACATTAAATACGTTAAATATGACTTCTTATGTTGGTTTCGTCTTTCAAAAAATCAAAAGTAAGGAGTTCCGGGATTATCTCATGAGGTAATGGTCCAATAATTATTTTAAAAATTGTATGAATAAAATTTATATTTGTATTGATTTTAATTTTTTTTTTATTTTTTTTAGCACGGTAATTATTTATACATTTTAATATTGAAGTGCGATCGTGATGTTTAATTATTATTATGACTCTATGACTAACTTTCAATTATGTTCTTTAATTCAATTAATGAAGCATTTCTGGGGACCGGGTATGTCTTTATGTTTTCAAATTTCATTTAATATATTTTTCACTGATCGTACTGAAATTTTGAATAGTTGCGAACTGGGGACTTCCTTTAGCTGCTATAGCTGATTCTCGAAAAGATCCTGAAATTATATCACCAAAAATGACAATCGGTACTTATAATTGAAGTTTATTTATTTATTTATTTATTTGTGATCATTATCATCATCGTTCGATTTACTAATTTTAATTGTTTATTTTTATTTTTATTTTATTTTTATTTTTCTTAAAGCTATGCTTATATATTCCGCTACATTTATGCGTTTCGCTGTTAAAGTAAGACCTGCTAACCCATTACTGTTTGCATGTCATTTCACAAATGAAGGTGCACAATTATTACAAGGGTATCGTTATTTAGATTATTATCAGTACGTAATTATAATTTCAATCGTTTTATTTTGTATTTTATTTTTTATATTGAAATGATGCTAATATATAATTTTCTAATTAGTTTTGGAGGGAAAGAAAAAAAATTAAAACAATTAGAAGAAAGTAAAAAAGCACCATCACCTGTTACTTTATAAAAATCATAGAACTATGGTTTTGAATTTTTTTTTAAAGAAGGGCATGTTTTTATTAGTGGCGTGAACGAATTTTTTTTAATAATAATAAATCTGATGAATAAGGAAGTAGTATTAATGTTTATTAATTTTATTAATGTTTTGAATCAATCAAATTGATTTAAAATGTAATTTATATTTATATTTATTATAAATTACTTTTTTTTTTTTACTGAACGGATTTAATAAAAATTATATTTACAAGTATTTAATAATTTTTCATATTCCATATCGTCTAGTAGTTATATATATATTTTTGAAATCACATGAAAGTCTGCAAACAATGGTTGGGAGCTGAAATGTTAAAATCTTCAATTGTTTAGCGCAATGTACTGTACTGAGTTTGAAAGAATAACTAGCGATTGATCTTGATCATGTGAAATATTACTCATTGTATAGTGAAACACTGCTGATTCTTTGATGACTAAAAAAATGGTAAAAAAACTATTGGTCTTATCTATGATTTAATAATGGTCTTGTCGCATTTGCATGTGAAAAAAAAAAAATTGAAACAAATAGGGTATGCATCACATGATTCTTAATACTGATATGTCAATTCCGGCTAGCACTATACTACTTCGAATCCAGGTGCTAACAAAACTAAGTTGATTAAAGGTCGGAAGAGTTTTCATGCAATTAGTACTAATGTTAGTTTATTTTTTCTTCCCCTAATAATAATACTTTAAAGCTTGCCAGTATTCTTGGGTCGGTTTCGTTTAGGTTTAATGAATACTGTATAATCGAGTAGGTTGTACTGACGTCGATTCTGAAGCCAGGCGCATTACATAAGACTGATATAGCCTCTAATTAGATCTTCTTCCCTTATTTACTTAGTTTAGATGGTTATGTTAGTTGGGCTCTGATAATTTTTGTTTGCCGCAAATCACCGTAATATGTACTATCATTGACTTGAAAAACTAGACCGCTGATACATTTTTTAACCGTTTTTCTTTGAATTGAATTTTGGCCTGCATTGATTGTTATTTATGTTGCTTCTTCATACTAAACTTTTTAATACATCCAAGAGGTTCTAACACTTTCATCACTAAATCTCTTGCCGGCACGTCATATATCAATATTTCACGTGACTCAGAACAAAAATAATTTCGAATCCTGTAGAAATTCGACGATCTGTAAAATACCACGAATTTCAATGCGAACCAAATGTATAATTTATATCATCATTTAATGATAAAATATTAATATTTAAATATTTAATATCTAAAAAAGACGAGGAATTCCAACTTACTCTGTCTATATAAAAGTTATACGATTATTTTAGTCAATACTACAAAACTGTATCCTACTTTTTTATGTGGTTATATGATTTAGATCAATAAACACGTTAGAGCTCATAATTGACTTGCGATTGGCTCATATAACTTTATAGAAGCTTCAATAGATAAGCTTATTATATGAATTTTAATAGGTAATGAAAATAAAGTCGTGTCAATAACTCATTATTAAAAGAATTGTTATGGAAGACATTTGATAATTTGTAAAATTATGTTTTAACATTAATGGCGAATATAAAGGATATTTAGATTTAAAGAAATTTTCAACTTGTTGATCAATGGGGATTTTATTATTGTTATAAAAATTTCATATTTACACTTGGACTCAATAATTTAAACTTAAAACTGATTGATTATTAATGCGAATACCTATCCGGAATGAAAAATATTATACATGATGTTATTATACCTAAAAAAAGCAGATAATATTTTGACTGTAAATCCGTCTGTCCTGCTCCTTTATCCATCTGTCTAGCCAAATAATCTTTTTGTATTTTATTTTCTTCTCTCCTTCGTTTTTTCTAACTTCCTCAAAATAGTCTCTAACATGTTCTCAACAGCACTCTCTCATAGGGGGTAGTCCGCTTAGATTGTGAATATCAGTCAAAAGAATCTTATATTGCGTAAAGTGGTGTATCCATTCTCAATGGATGTAACAAAGACTCCTAAGGTATGTATGGTGACTATGGTCCTTGTTATACCTATGAAAATATAATTTAGTAATGAAAACACTACATTGAAATATTCAAAAGAGTTGGCTCCTTCAAATTCTCTGATTTCGTTTATTCCCACTTTTGCGGTGGTATAATTCTTACACTGAACCAAGAGGATATGTTCTTTTAATGGAGCAAAAATATCGATGCCATTATCTCCATACGAGCCCCTATAACAAGTAAAATAAAAATAAGTAAACATCATTACCATGAGGATGCAATAACCTGAGATCGGTTTCAAGTTACTACAAACCATACACCCTATTCACCACAACCATAAAAGCTTTCGAATAATAAGGCTAAGCAGAGAAGGACGTTCACTAAACTATTACCCGACAAATAATCTATAGGGCACGAAGCGCTTCCAGTTCTCTGCCGCCTTATTACCTAGTGGCAGCGTAACTTCAGGTATATATGACTATCAATCTTAAGAGATATAATATAACTCACCTAGTACGAGAAACACATAATTTCATTGATTTTAATTTATTATAAACGCAACTTTCGAACTGAGAACTGTTTTCTACTGAAGAGGCCATTGTTAATAAGTGAAAGCGAATATAAAAAAGTGAGTCTTTAAACATAATACACAAAAACGCGACACAAAACATATTTACTTTTATTCTGAGTTTGAAAGCAGAAGCGTATTTTGCCCTCATGAGTCATGACTATGTACTTATGTGTTTGAAGTTTGATTTTATACTTAAATAAACTATAAATAGCTCGTGACTGATTTAATAGTGTGATCGTGAGAGTCTATATAGTAAAACACTTATCTTTAGGCAATAGCGTGCTGTTTTCGATTGAGGCCATTTGATCATCGGTCAGATTGTGCCACTTCATACTATACAATAAGTATATAGTAAATAATAATCCTAATTTTGCTTATTACCCTCACTTTTAATAAAAATTCTTATTAAAAATTATTTATATATTGAAATTTATATTAAAATAGAAAAATAATTTATAATTTAAATAAATTTTATTAAGAAACTATCCAAAAATGATCGTTTAAATTTTATAATAACAACGCATGTTACTAAAAAAAAAAAAATTATTATTTTGTTTTACGAGACATAACATTTCTTATTATATTCATAGGACGTTCGACCGGTATGTAGCTTTGGGATTAATTCGAAATTAATTTTTTATTAAAATAACATAGGATGTAAAACGTGGATCAACATTTTCTTTACACCAAATTTAATTCATTTTGCAACAAACAAATTGGAATTTTTTTTTTTTTTTTAAAAAAAAAATAATTCCAAGTATTTATCTCCACTACAATAAATAAAGCACAAAAATATGAATGCATTATATCATTATTAATACGCAATAAATATACAATTACCGGTATCAAGCAACAAATTAAATGAAATACATACTAACGATAGCAAGATTAAGCATAAAAGGGAAAATTATCACCGAAATGTTTAATTAAACATTCAGCTTTGAATTTTAGTAAATTGCATAAATATCACAACATTGCATAACTCAAAAACTACAATTCCGAATCTGATAATGTAAGTTTTTACCTGATTCCGCGATGACTGAGCGCCCTGTATATTATGAAGTTTGTTGTAAAGATGGTCATCGGTCCTAAAAGACCGTGGTCCTACTGTCTTATACCTTAAAAAGACAGACCGGTCCGTCTTGGTGTAGGACTGCGGTCTTTCAGTCCTGTAAAAAGACCTTTGCAAATAAAAAATTTTAAAATCATTTATTATATGAAGACCTGGTCAGTCGGTCCTACTGCGCCACAAAAAAATGCAAGTCCGGTCCTACAAGCCCTGGGACCGTAGAACCGATGACCATCCTTAGTTTGTTGTAGTATCATCTTGGTGGTGATTGATTGGAATTGTGTAAAAAAGTTCGGTGATTTAATTCCATGATAATATAAAATTGTGATAAGATAAAAACTTTAACAGTTAAGAAAAAACTCAATAAATTCGCGTAAATAATAATTTAAACGAATGACAAGTAATTGCATTTATAGCAGCATGCATTTTACTCTGAAAAAAAAAACATGTAAATTTATTTAAGTCATATGCTGTGCGTTGCGCTGTTATTAAACATTCGAATATAACACTTTGTTAATTAATTTTGACAATATACAACGAATGTATTTATTCATTTACACTAATAAATAAAAAAGATAAATCTCTGATATTCAGTTCCAATGCATCCATAGTCAACTCATAGTCATACTACAATTTAATCTCATTATACTGTACATAATGAGGTTTATTTTATATTTTCAAACACATACACTTTAAATATTCATTTGTTTGTAAACACTACTCGTGTGCTATGCTAAAAAGAAGAGAGGTTGTCGACTTATTTAATTTTGTTTACGCAATCAAATATTTTCGACAATTCTTTTCGCATTATATATATACTGACTAACTGGCAATCATTTTATTATCGTAATTTATCAAATACATCCAGCGCTGAACTTTTTTTCTTCCTTGACTCATTAATAACTTTAATTTGAGAGTACCCTTCGGGAGTGATTTATAGAAAAAAATTAACGTTTCAGATAATTTTCACTTTTTAGTAACGATTATGTGAGATTGGACATTAACTGAATTATACAGGCGTCTATTTAAAATTATCTATTTATTATGAATTAGTAATTTTGCATATGAAAAAATTTCTTACAAATTATGGAATGTTTATAGATTTGACGTTTGATAAGTAATTTTTTTTTAAGGTTAACCAAATTTCATGGTTATACAGTACATTGGGATAATACCAGCATTAATTCCTGACCGGTATATTATCCAGTAAGGAATGATCTGCAGTTATAACTAGCGAGCTTTTTTAAAATTAATAGGTTATAACGAATTTTATAATTGAAAATTCGCTATAAAAAGGTTCTCTCTATGATTGGCATATTCTTAGTTATAACGAATTTAGAATTTTTTATATGGAACATAAAATTTGCTATAAAATGGGTGAACTGTACATGATTTTTTTTTTTTGACTCATCCTACGCATCTTTTGTAGTTTTCCCATTTGATATTTTCTCTAGGTCTTCGCTCATGTCATTGCAGAGTTACAGTCTGGCATATTCAACGGTTTAATTCATCACTTATATATGTTAAACTTTATTATACAAGGGACGTATTATGTAATTTAAGGATATAATTTATAATTG